CTCCCCAGCGTACACTTGTGCATAGTTATGGGTAACGTGTTTCCAGAGTTTTGTCTCAGTTTTACCGAGGACCCAGACTCCCTCCCCCATCCCAAAACCTGCCATGGAGCCACCGCCAAGTGGCGCCAGGGGGAACCCGCCGTGCAGCGTGGGTCTCCCCACACCGTGAGTCACACGGCTGCCACGCTTGAGAGGACACTCGTCCTTGCCCTGGACCACCCAGCCAGCTGCCGGGGCCACGCACCCCTGTGACAGCCCTGGCGTTTTCAAACCAGCCCCAGCTGGGAAGGATTTTTCTGGCCTCTTACAGCCCCAGCCTCCAAAGAGCTCACACAGGGACTTTCCAGATGGGCTTCTCCTTTTGGGGTCCAGGAGCCCCCCACCCCCTCCCTGGGCTGGGATGCTCGCCTGAGTCAGCCCGTCTTAGGGGGTGTCGGCGCCATGATTCATACTGGGTTGCAGAGATCCCCATGGAAACAGCAGGCAGGCCTGGGCGAGAGGGAGCCACTCTGGGAAGCCGGCTGGGGGAGGCCCAGGCTGGGGCCTGGCTGGAGCCGCATGGGGCGGGGCTGGGTGGGGCTGGGCTGGGCTGGGGAGCTCTGCTGGGAGGGGCGGGGCAGGTCTCCCATCCCTGCCCTCTCTGACAGGGCAGGGAGTCCAGTTTGGGGTCTCAGTCCAGGCCTTTGAAGTTCCAGGGTACCCGCTTGAGGCCCCTGCAGCCCTGCGCCTTCTCCAGCACAGCCCGAGTGGAAGGCCACCTGGCCAGCTGATCCCGGGAGCAGAGGCAGGGTGTGCTCTGTGGCCTGGCACCTGCCCCCAACTTACCCAGAGCAGGAGGGCGAAGGCACTGTTCCTGGTGTCCCCATGAACCAAGCCCCCAGCTGAGGGCATCGGCGCCTCCACACCCTGCACAGGGCGGCCAGTGCGGGTGCCCAGCGTTCGCCCCAGAGCCGCCTGGATGGAGTGTGACCTCGAGCAGAGCAGGACCCATTCAAGCTGACACCCAAGGACGCTGGCCCTTCAGTCCTGGCCAGGGCTGCCAGTTCCCTGTAATATCTCTGTAATGAGGGCAATTTGGCAATCGCGTAAAATATGCTCTTACCCTTTGTCCCAGTAATTCCATTTCTGGGAATGCGGCCTAAGGAAATAATCCTAAATATAGGGTAGAAAAACATGTGTCAGAAGGATGTTCGCCGCGGAGTTGTTTATAGTAGCATGCGACGAAATACGGAGGGCTGAGGGGCAGAGTAGAGACCAAATAAACAGGAGCCGAGTATTTTACAGCCACTGAAACGATGGCTCTGGGGACCATGGTGCCAGATGTGGGGTGTCTGTAGGTGCCATGTGAAAGAGGCGTCGAAATCACATGCATCCTGTGATCTTTCCCCGCCCTTTAATTGTACCTGCTCGAGGCACATAGCGGTCATGAGACAGAGGGATCACGGACAGAAGGGACTTGAATTCTTTTTTATCCCCTTCCTCTCCGTCCTCTCCCCTTTTGTGAAAGTTCTACCACCCCGTTTCCGATCCTTTTTTATTTTCCTCCTCGTTTTATGTCGGCTGTTGTACGATACGGGCACTGTGTTAGAGACAGGAAGCTGTGATGCCAGGGTGCTCATGGGTGATCTGGAGACAGTTTTTTCTGAACGATGTAACATTCTATTCATCACCTTCCACATTATCACGCAGATCCATGCATTGCCTTTTTTAGTCAGGTTGCCGTTGTAATTTACATACAGTCAGATCCCGGTTTTGTGCCCAGAGCGGGGAGTTTTGACAGCCGTGCACAGTCAGAGCTGCCACTGCAGCGCCTGGGGTTTGGAGCTGGCCCTCGCCCCCCAGCCACTGGCAGCATGGACTGATGTGGTCCCCAGCAACTCCCAGGACGTCATTCAAACAGAATCGCACTGTCTGCTGTTACCTTTAGGGAAATTCACGATCTGCTCCTCGTTCCCCTAAAAACACCTCTTAGAGCTGGATTTCTCTTCTCTCGGGGGAATCTGTTCTCTTAACCTCATTCAGCCTCCTGTCGCCTGTCACCGTGTTCATACCACCAGGGAATTACCAGCTCTCTGTGACTGCACCTCTGCCTGAGAAAGTACCAGGGACACCAGGGACCTGGGCCATGTGGCCGTATCTGCAGCCAGAGCCCAGCCACTTTGGGGATGGGGTGTTTGCTTCACCCCCTTTCCCTGCCCCAAAACAATGACATTGCAGGGGCCACAGTGGGGCGGCGGAGAGGGGGGTTGTTGTTGCTTTGGTTTGGTTTTGTGCTGGGGGTTGAACCCAGGGCCTTTGCAGTGCGCTGTATCCCCAGCCCTTTTTTATTTTTTATTTTAAGACAAGGTCTCATTAAGTTGCTCAGGCTGGACTTGAACTTGCAATCCTCCTGCCTCAGCCTCCCAGAGGGATTCCAGGCGGGCACCACCCCGGCCACTTTGGAGTTTTCTTGATTAGCATTTATCTCAGAACAGTTTTAGAGGACAGTGGCGTGGGTAGGACAGGGTCCCCGCCCGCCACTCGGCCCCTTGCCAGTCGGCACCGAACGCTGCCCTCAGTGGCCCTGCTCACCTGTATCTTACTACCCGAGTCCACACTGGCTTCCCTCGCTGAGTTTCCACACCACGTCCTCTTTCTGTCCGATCCCCCACCTGACCTTTCTGTCCCTATCTGGCCCAGGCAGGCTCTGGGGTGGTCCTTGGCTTTGGTGATCTGAAATGGGCGCTCTGGTCCAAACTCTTTCTCGAGTTAGACCTGGCCGATGCGGGGAGACCGAGGTGAGGTCCACATTCGTCTCCTTCAGGCCAGTTCGTCTTGTTGGGCTCCTTGGTGAGTTCCGGTGCCGTGGGAAGCACTGGACAAGCCCTGTCTCCTTTGCTGCTCCGTGTTTCTGTTAAATGCATGCTGGCCTTACCGCTGAGGAACAGGACTCAGAGGGGCATTTGTTCGCCTGCTTCAGGACTCACAGTCAGTGGCTCAGCTGTAGGTCTCATGGATCATAAAAACTTGCTTCGGGCCAAATGCTTTTTCAAAGAGTGGGGAAGCACCAGATCAGTTTTTTAAAACAGTGTGTGCTTATTGACACCCAGTCCTTCCCCCTAAAGCCATGGCTGCAAACTGATCAGGCTGACTTCAGACAACCCCAGCCCCAGCAGTCTTGAAGGAGGGAGAGGCCAGGTGAATCTGCCTGGGCTCCACACCCAGCAGCATCCGCCACGGTGTCTTGGCGTCCTGGCGTGAGGGGAAGGACGTGGGGCTGCCCGTGCCTGCTGTGGACCTTCCGGGTGTCCCCTTGTGGGTGGTGTGTGTTTGTGTTTTGTTTTTGTTTGTTTGTTTGCAGTACTGATGATTGAACCCAGGACATCCCCCAGCCTTTTAAAAATTTTTATTTTGAGACAAGGTCTTGCTAAGTTGCCCAGGGTGGGCTCAAACTTGAAATCTTCCTCCCTCAGCCTTCCTTCCACAGTGCTGGGATCACAGGTGTGCACCACCGCACCCGGCTGGAGAGGGCTTTTGTGTCCCTGGATCGTGGTGGCCCTGCAGCTTTCTAAATGCACAAGGGCTGTGTCTCAGGCCCTCACGGGTATTCAGGTATTTGTGTCAAAAGCCTGGGACCCCGCCCTAGAGAAGGGGGGTGGGCGAGGCACAGGGATTTCAAATTTAGTTAAAAATAACAACCCAGGAGGCCCCTTCCGGGGCGTGGTGGGTCGTGACTAGGTAATTCACATGTGAATGCTTTATTTTAGCAGGGTGCTCATGTGTTCTTTCGTCTGTGACACAGGAAGTGAAAGTCATCCTGAGAGGTGGCCTGTGGGACCGGAGGGCAGGGTTCCCCTGGGATCCCAGGTGCTCGGGACAAGACCCTGTGAGGCTGAGTCACCGTGCAGGGGCCAGAACACAGCAGGCCTGGGACCCAGCAGCCGCCTGGCTTGGTGACTGGGGCCGACCAAGGGCCGGCAAAGGCAGGGCAGGGTGAACGTGCCAGCTCCTCCCGTGGGACCTGCAGGACCCTCCTGCCAGCAGCTCCACCCAGGGCACCCAGTGACGCTGTCCAATTGTGGCTGAAGCCCCTGCTGCCCTTCTCCCCCCACACACAGTTTATTCACTTGGGTGCTTTGTTGTCCATTTGCTCCCGTCTTATTTCCTGCCGCACCCATACCCAGCCTGACCCCTGGGTTGTCGTAGCAGCTCAGTAAATACCTGTTGGATAAATGAATGAAGGGAGCTCAGTAGATCAGTTCCTGGTGACTGATCACATCAGGGAAGTTGAGGCAGCGGAAGCCATCAGCTCCACACCTCCACATCTCAACGCTGGTTGACAGGTATTGAAGTGGAAAAACCTCCTGGGGGTCCTGCATCACCAGAGTGAAACCAGCTAATCAGGCCAGGACTTAAAACTGCATCTGCTGGGTGCATGGCGTAGTGAGTCCCGGAAGGGGTGAATGCAGGGGAAGATGCTACCTGGCCAGGAGTGGTGCTGGCGCCTTTGGGGACAGGAGCAGGCTGGGGCTGAGGTACCATCAGTGGGCAGTGTGGGGAACATGGATGCAGATTTCATGCCCCAGCACTGGGAGCCATGGAAGGCTGTGGGGCAGGTGAGCTAGGCCGTGGCGTCTGGAACAGGGCCGGTGCTGAGTAGCGGAAGTGTGTCTGGGGAGGCCAGCGGAGCTGCTGCCGCCTTCCAGGTGGGGGACAAGTGTGGCCTCTTCTGGTGAGGGCTGTGGGATTCTGGCTGCGTCCTCTGTGGGGCCCCGCGGATATCAGGGACACCGGTCCTTGCCCTCTCGTTGTCCCTGGTCTGCCCCACGCTGCACCTCAAGTGCCAAATGAGTTCCTCCCAGGACCCTCCCTGCCCTGCAGCTCCAGCCAGGGCCCTGGTCCAGTGTTTCTGCACCAGCGACCCAGGGTGTACCGCCTGTCCCAGGAGCCATGGTGGGGGGGCTCTGCCTGTCACACCCACCCTGCTAACCCGTGCACCTCTCTTCTGTCTCTCGCTGCAGCCCACTGGGTACATGGAAAACTCGGTCTCCTACAGCGCCATCGAGGACGTGCAGCTGCTGTCCTGGGAGAATGCCCCGAAGTACTGTTTACAGCTCACAATCCCGGGGGGCACCGTCCTGCTGCAGGTAGGGTGAATGCATGACTCTGCATTTTCTCCTTCTGCCGCCTCAGCCCCGAGAGGCAGCATCTCGGGGCAGGGGCGGGGGTGGGGGTTGTTTAACTCCCAGGATAAGAAGGGCACAAACCAGCCCATTATGGTGGCACACGCCTGTGATCCCAGCACTTGGGAGGCTGAGGCAGTGAGATTGCTGTGAGTTCAAGGCCAGCCTGGGCTACACGGTGAGACCCTGTCTCAAAAAACAAAAACAAAATCAAGAAGGTACAAACCGGGGTCCCTGGAGAAAAGGAGGGAATGTGTACATATTGAGCTCCTGGTGTATGCTTGCCACCAGCTAGGGGGCTTGCATGTATCTCCATGGTTCCCTTAAATCTGAGAAGTGACTTTTGTGTTCTGCAGTGAGAAGGTGAAGTACATGAGCAACAGTGCTGCCTTTCACTTTGCTTCGAATGAGGAAGGTTCTCACTTCCTGTTGATTTTGTCTTTTGGGACTGATAAAAGTATGACCTCTTTCCTTGGAGAAAAAAAAAGACACATTCTGTGTCTTAGTCAGGACTTTCAGTAAGAAGTGGCCCAAATGTTACTCTGACTAGTAAGGCAAAAAAGAATGTGATGTGACTGTAACAGTATCTGGGGAGTGGGGGAGAGGGTTTCAGGTGCAGCTGGATCCAGGGGTCAGTGTCACCTCTGTTTGGCATCTCTGTATTTCCTGGCTTGCCTCTGGGAGTGGCTTCATCATGACACAGAGTGTCCCCATGTGAAAGGAAAGGGAGGTTCTTAGCAGCCCTAAGCCCCATTCTTAGGCCTTTTGATCTATACCAAAGTGGGTACCCCTTTTCCTTGAGCCTGGGCAGGTGAGTCCTTGACTGAATGCCCCTGCAGGATGTCCTGCCAGGGAGCCCTAGCCCAAGAGACCCCACATCAGAAACTCCCGGATGCAGCCTCAGCCTTTTGTTAGTTCTCTTGCTATCACTGTCTCCAGGAGGGGCTGTCTCCTTCAGAGACAGCCAGGAGATCAGCCACAGCTCTGCAGCTGCGTCACCCTGGCTGCCTTTGAGGGGCGCTGAGCTCAGTGGCCCAGGGTGGCAGCTGGGCGTCTTGTAGGAAAATCCTCTCCTTGCATCTCCGGGAGTCTCTACGCCTGCCCTGTTCTCCTTCTCCTGCATCCCTCTCACCCTGTCCTTGTGTCCCTGCCCTCTGTCCTTTTCTCTCTCCTCAGAGGACCGCCCCCCCGGTCCTGCCCACCCCCTTTGCCCACCTGGCATCTGCAGTGCTGACCCCTGCGTGGGCAGCAGCCGCCCTGGGCTGGGGATGGAGGGTGCCCCACAGCCACCCACTCCAGCACCTCCCTTCCAGCCTCTCCTATCCCTGCCAGTCCTCGGGGAGGCTGAGCCATAAACAAACGAGCGATGAGAGCCCAGAGGAACGATGACTCATTCGGCCCTGGTGCTGGAGCAGGCTCCCCAGGAATGCAGCATCTGAGCAGGGCATAGAGGGATGAGTAGGAGTGCAGGTCAGGGGGTTACACTCTGGGCAGAGCAGGAATGTGGGGAGCAGAGTGCTCACTGGCTGGGAGAGAGGGGGAGGCAGCGTTCAAGGCCCAAGACCTGTCTAGGTCACCCATGCCATCCTAGCTGAAGGAGGAAGCCTCAGACATATTCTGAGGGCAGTAGGGAGCCACTGAAAGTTCCAAAGGGATGGAGGGGACACCACATGGATCGGTGCAGCTGCAGGACAGAGGGGGATGGATATGTGAGTGACAAGGGAGGCAGGAAGGAGAGGCCCGGAGCCCTCCTGGGTACCATCCAGAGGGTCCCTTGCTCCCGAGCTGGAAGGGGCAGCCCTGCCCCCAGCAAGGCCACAGTGTTGCCCAGCCTGGGGACTGAGTCGGGGAAGCAGTGAGTGCAGTGCTCCTGGCCGGCTCCCGAGTGTCCCTTTAACTGGCCAGTGTGATGACGCCATCGTGAGGGGTGGCCCTATGGGCAGGGCCTGGGCCTGTCTCCCCTCCAGCGCTGGAGCCTGAGGCAGGAGGGGAGAGGGGAGAGGGGCCCCAGATCGGAGCGGACCCTGCCCTCTGCTGGGTCTCCCTTGTTCCTTGTGTCGGGCCAGGGGAGGGACCCCGGGTTGGCACCCACCCCAGCCCTCGCCCTCCTCCCGCCGCCCTGGGCCCAGTGCTGTGGGGCTGCCTTGTTCTGCACACCACTTCCGCATCCTCTGGAGTCAGGCAGTTTGGGGGCACCTGCCCAGGGTGGTGTCCGGGCACCGGGCCACTCTCTCTAGCACCGATCCGGTCCAGGTGCAGTTGGCTGCAGACACCGAGCTCCTTGACACATGAGTGACGGATGCCCCGTGTTAGGACCCATGCCCTGAGGTTGCTGACAGCCACTGCAGCGGCCCTGGGGACAGAGCCTCCCTGTCCCTGGCGGCCAAAGGGTCAAGGCCCCCCTGCAGGGCCGTCCGTGCGCCGGGGCTGGGCCGTCCCCTCGGACCGCGTGATTCCACCTTGCTGAACACCACCTCCCCAGCCTGGGCTCCTGTGGTGGGCAGAGCAGCGACCGTTCGGCCCACCCCCCCGGGGCAGCTCCGTGGTCACAGTTCTGTGGGGCAGTGCTGGCCTCCAGACCCCGTGCCCTTCCCAGCCCTCCCCAGCCAGGGCCCGTCTGCACCACCCGGGACCAGCAGTGTCAGGGGCTCTGGGGGTCCCGGACGGCCCACCATCCCCTGCCCACGCAGCCTGCCTGCTCTGTTCTCTCTCTGCTCCCGTCTGTTTTCCTTCCCCCCACTCTCTCATCTCTCTTCGCTCCCCTCCCCTCTCCCGGTCCTGTCTTCCTCTCACCCCTTACCCAGCCCTTCTCTCGAAGTTTCTTTCCTCCTAGCCTCACTGTACCCGCTCCGCCTCTCTGTGTCTCTCTCCTCTCATCTCCTCCTCCTGCCTTCTGTTTCCCAGGGACCTCCACATCCGTTGATTTTCAGTTCTGGGGATTGAACCCATTGAACCCGGGGTCTGCACACCGAGCTGCGTCCTCAACCCTTTCTCTCTCTCTTTTTTTTTTTTAATTTTGAGGCAGGATCTCACTAAGTTTCCCAGGCTGGGCTCAAACTTCTGACCTGCCTGCCTCAGCCTCCCGGAGTGCTGGTAAGACAGAGGTGCACCACCACGCCTGGTACCTCCTTACCCTTTGATGGACTTCGCATGGGTTCTTTACAAAGATCCCAGGGAGCCAACCTGCTGGCTCCAGGAGCCGAGCAAACATGATGACCATCTGTCACAGGTCCTGTCGCCAGACTGAGGCACCTGGATTTCCACACAGGCTGTGTGCCAGGCTTCCGGGTACTGTGTGGCTTCATCGTTCTAATGCTGTGTCATCAGGACCCCTGGCCACCGAAGGGACCTTTTTGTTCATCATCTTTCCTCCCCAAGGCCCTCGCCATCCAGGTTTCACGGTGATGAGGCCTGCTGGGTTCCTCCCCGCAGTTCTGAGCCTGAGCCCTGGCTCTTCCCAAAGCTCCCGGCGGCGGGCGCTGTTTCCTCCAGACGCTGGCAGCACAGTGGGTTCCATCCTTACTGGAAGCTGGAGGCAAAGACCTTTCCGGTCTGCAGGGCTGTGCTGTTTTCCCCCAAAAGTTGGCCGGGAAGGGGACTTGGGAACGCTCACCACAGTGCTCCCCAGCCTGTTTTTCTCACCTCTCCAGATAATGCAACAATGAGAGAGAACTTGGCAACTTTCAAGGAGGAAATTAGGCAGAGCTTGCCTGGAACCAGGCCCTTTCCTGTAGGAAAGATTTACACTGGGAGCAGTCACAGGGCGGCCTGGGGGGCCTGGGGCCTGGGGCCTGGGGCGGGGTGGCTGGGGCTCCTTCCTGTGTTCAGGTGGATTCTGTGACCCCAGGACACCGCTGGGCCTGTCCCCTCGGGCTGGGCTTGAGGGCAGCATGGACTCTGCAGAAGCGCGCCCTCTTCCCGGGCTACGTTACCTTCCCTGTGTCCAGAAGCCACGTACAGATGTCCACTCGGGGACCCGGCGTCCCCTGGCAGCCTCCGTCCTCTGAGGCTGGAGCTGTGGGAAGGATCAGGGTCTGGCTCACCCTTGTCGAAAGCTCTCTGGCCCCATGTGCTGTGGCTCCTCGGGGGGGGAAGCTCTGCCCACCTTGTTTACGAGGCAGGGCCCCCTGGTGGCTGGAACAGGTGCCAAGTCCTGTTCTCTTGTCAGAGGGCAGTGCCAAGGGGAAATAACGCTTCTGGATTCCCGGGCTAAGATGTGGGGTCCAGAGGAGCAGAGGCACAAGGCTGCAAGCCCCAGAGGTAGGCGGCAGGAAGAGCAGGGTGGGGACAGATGTACCTGCGCTGCAGCCCAGGTCTGCTGCACCCTGGCTGTGCAGCTAGCTGTGTGGCCCTAGGCCACAGAAAGAACCTCTCTGGGCCTCACTTTCTTAATGTGTGAACTGAACCCATGAGACTTGTCTCCTTGGCTATTGTGGGGGTCAGAGATATTCCATTAAAATACTTAGCACTGTGCCCAGTAAAGAATAGGAGTTAAAGAAAACACCACCATGGTTATTTCTATAACCTTAGTCAACGTCAAGTTGTGGGGAGAAGGCTATCAGGGTTGAAGTTTTTTTTTAAATTCACATGAAGTTTTCTTCATTGAACAGAATGGGTAGAATGATGTTCTATCCACCCACCCACCCATGCTTCTGTCCACCTATCAATTTGTCCATGTGACCCTCCCTGGCCTTACCCATCCATCCATCATGCATCCATCTACACATCCATCCATCCGTCCATCCATCCATGTGCCTGTCCGTGTAGCCTATCACACCTGTTTATCCAGGCACCCATCCATCCATGTTTACATCCATCCATCCATTCTCCCATCCGTGCATCTAGGCACCCATCCATCCATCCATTCATCCATCCACACATCGTTCTCCCATCCATGCATCCATGTATCCATCCATCCATCCACCCATCCATCCATGCACCCTTGCACCTGTGTGTGTCCCTGCACACATCCATCCAACCAGTCACTGATGATTCAGCGTCCCATCAACCTTTCATTTAATAGACATTTTTGTCTGAGTTTCCCGGACACAGTGGTGCATAAGTCAGACATGGTTCCCAACTTCACGGAGCCCGCAGCCCAGGGAAAAGACACCAGACAGTTGATGACAGGACAGTACAATATGTAGGATGAGGCATCCTCACCTGACTTGGTTAGGGACAGGTTGGGGAAGGCATCCTCAAGGTGGTCATTCAGGACAGTGGCACCTCAGGTGGGAGCTGGAGGGGTATGTGGGAGTTCGGCAGGTATTGGAGAGAGGGAAAGCAGTCAGGCTGTGTGGAGGCAGGCAGCAGAATGAGGTGGCCAGGTACCCTGAGATGACAAGCAGCCCCAAATGCACGGGTTCTTGCTCCTTCACCATGCGAGTCCCTTATGGTCCTGCAGTTCACCCACGCCTGGAGGGCCACTTCCGTGTCACAGCAGCACACGTTCATTGGCACAGGAAGTCACGTGGACACGTGTGCCATATGCACAGAAGGGAGCTGGAAGCAGGGCTCGGATCCCTCATGGGAAGAACAGAGCAGAGGAAGATTAGGTTGGAAGGTGTGGGTCCTTCCTCCGTGATCCACAGTGTACCCCGAAACTGCCCACATGTTGGCGTGGGATGCACGCACACGTGCAGCACTTCTGGAGGTCAGAAGCCAACTCAGGTCCCTAGGCTGGCGACATCATGCGGCCTGGGCTGGCTGCTTCTGCAGGCTCCCAGGAGAACCTTCTTCCTGGCCAGTTCTGCCTCTAGGTGCGCTGCTTTCCTTGGTGCTGGCCACGTTGCCTCCCTCTTACAAGGACCTCTGGTTCCATTGGCAGCCTGAGCAATGGAGGTCCTGGATCCTCACCTCATGACTGTGAGCCCTCAGGAAAGGTTTTCACCTCCCGAGCCTCAGCTGCTCTTCTGCATTGAGAAATGCCGACTTCACAGGGCTTTGCTCTGCGCCTCCGTACCCGGAACCCCCGGCGTCTGCCATCGCTGGGGCAGAGCTGCCGGAGGCGAGCGCGAGGGCAGCAGCTGCCATGTCTGTGGCTCATGGCTTCCTCGGGCCACATTTTGCTCGAGAGGAATCGATGAGAATAACAGCAGTGACTGCTCTCTCTTCAACCCCTCCCCCGCCGTCTGCCCAGCTGTACCAGAGCCTTCCAGACCCTCACGTATGCGAGGACGACCAGGGCCGTGGTCCCCACTGCAGGCGGGAACTTGAAGGCAGAGTTGGAAAGGTCTCAGATTAGCAGGCCGTGGATTAAGGAGTGGTTTTGGCCTCTCCTGTGATTTCTAGGTAGATAAGTGTGCCTGAGTTGAAGCCTGGAAGCTTTCTGCCACGATCTTTTGCAGCCGATAAGAGGGTGCTGTGGTTACATGCACAGCTTTGAGAGCCAGGCAGCGAGTTTGCGGGCGCTTAGTGTGACAGCTCAGGGTCTTGGTTGCTCCCTCTGTGAAATGAGCTTAGTGACAGAGCCGCCTTGCCGCTGTTGTCGGGTGTCTTGATTCCTTTCTCCTTGATGAGAGACAATACCCAACACCCACAGCTTAGAGGAGGAGAGGTTTATTTTGGCTCGCAGTCTGTACAGGTTTCAGTCTTGTCGGCTGGCTCCGAGGCAGGATGGCGTGGCAGAGGGGCCTGGCGGAGGAGAGCTGCTCAGGGCATGGTGGACAGGAAGTAGAGAGAATGAAAGAAGCCAGGAAGGCAGCTGAGCCTTCCAGACCTCACCCCCACTGGCCCACTGCTTCCTGCCAGGCTCCACCTCCTGACAGCAGATCAGCTGGAAGCCCCCATACTCTAACCACCTCGCCGAAGCCCCGCTTATGAGTGCATGAGGCCCCTGGCGGACATCCAGATCTAAACCATGACATGGGGGCTGTTGAGAGAACGAGGTTCACAGGTCCTGGTAGAAGAGACGCCCCGGGAGCTGCCCAGCTCTCACCTCCAGGCTTCCAGCCAGCGGATGCAGCCCCTCCCGTGATCCCCAGTAAGTCAGGGTGCAGCAGGCACAGCCAGCAGGCGACATCAAGCACCTCCCAGGGAAGGCTCCCTCGGGTCACAGGGCAGACGCTGTTGCCCGAGCAGGCAGGAGGGTTGCGTGTGGCCTGTGGGGTCCCCTGTGGTGCTCCACATGGTGACCAGACCTCTCCCGGTTCTTGTCATTGCAGGCTGCCAACAGCTACCTGCGAGACCAGTGGTTCCACTCCCTGCAGTGGAAGGTAAGTCTCGACTCCCTGGCACCTGGGCAGCGGCCGCCTCCTTCCCAGTCCTGGTGGGGTGGTGCAAGGCCAGCCTGTCACCCAGAGGCCTCCGCTCCTTGGTGCCCTGGCGTCAGGCTCCACCTCCAGCCGCCCGGAAGCCCCGTCCCGCGTGGTGGTCGCCCACTGGAGAGCCTCACAGCGTCTCCACAGTCCTGGCTTCCTCGCGGCAGCGTCTGTTCTCCAGGCTGACTTCCCAGCTCCAGCCCCATGTGGGGCGGATCGGAGCATCAGACATCTGTGGGCACTTTCGGCCCGGGCCAGCTGTCCGAGGCAGGGTCCCGGGCCCCCGAGTCCGAGTTCTGCTTTGTGGCCTCAGTGTGGACTCTGACATCGGCCAGGTGTGCACTCGGCCTCTCCTCACCTGCCCCTGTGCCCCCGCTCTAGTCCAGCTGTGTGGGACACGCCGAGGCCCTGGGGGCCAGAGTGGCAGTGGCTGTCACAGACATCATCTCGCATAGACAGAGAACTGGGGTAGCAGGTGGCATGCTGGGAGGGAGAGGGATACCTGGGGTTTCTCTCTGCCTCTGCAGGGGCTCTCGGCACAGCTGGGCACAGGACAGAAAGAGCCCCAGAAGTCACTCCTGGCCCCCAGGGGACACCTTCCCCTTTCCTGTCAGCCGTGGGTCCTCTCTTGGTGCCCGTGGCGCCAAGTCTCAGAGGCCGAGAAAAAGTCACCAAACTGCGACTGCACACGTTGAGCTCCAGCTGTGTGCCAGGAGCTGTGCTAGGCTCCCGACAGTAGTCAGTGTGTTGTCAAGGCTCCCATCTGCCGTGTGGAAAAGCTGAGGCTGCGTACCTGGCCCTCGAGGCCTGAGGCAGGGTGCCCAGGTTAATGTTCCCTGGGTGTCCGAACGTCGCAGGCTGGGGAGGCGCCTGAACAGCTCAGGGGTGTCACACGCCTGCTCACGGAGTCAGCAGGTGCCGCCGAGAGCTGGGTTTCCATGGGGAGCATGTCCCCGGTGCCTGCTCTCCACGGCACAGGGACCAGGATGCCCGCACGGGCAGCATGCGTCAGACCTGCTGGGCCCGGGGGGTTAAATACCAGCACAATGGGGGCCCGAAGGAGGCGCCGTCAGGCACGGTGCCCCATGGAGTCTCCCCCTTTGGCTCTGGGGTATTCAGCTCATTCTGTTCTTCTTGATCCCAGGACAGGGCAGAATGTACTTGGGACACATGGCCCATCTTTAGGGTTGGTCCTTAGGGCTCTTCCTTCAACTGGGACTTGCACACCTAGAAGGCAGGGCCTGTGAAGGCTGTGATTTTACACAGGTGTGAGAGAGGAACAAGGAAGAGATTGCAGGAGGCTTTGACCAGAAGGATGACTTAAAAGTGCAAGCTTGAAATGTTGAGATGCTGAGGATTGAAGTGGGGTCCACCAGCTTGTTAAGCACACCCACAACAGGGTTCTTGGGAAGTATGTGGGGGTTTGTACTCCATGAAGTGCTGTTTGCTTTGTATGTGATTGTTCAATTTTATCAGTTAACTTTCTTTTTTTAAACAAAGGATGCACTTCCGGGTGTGGTAGAGCATGCCTGTAATCCTAACACTCGGGAGGCAGAGGCAGGAGGATCACTGTGATTTCCAGGCCAGACTGGGCTACATAGTGAGACCATCTCAAAAAAATAAAATAAAATAAAATAAAAGCACACAGCAGAGCTATGTCAGAGATGTGAGAGCACAGGCACATGCCTGGCAGAGAGCTGGCCCATCTGTCCCTGTGGATGGAAACCTCCATCCTCACTGTAGGAGCAGGCTGTGTGGGGTTCCCCCTTGATAGTTACCCCCCTGTAATTTAGGTATGCCGCCACCAGGTGGCAGTGGTGCCCAGCACCGGTCCCTTGCCCTTCTGTGGCCCTGGGGCACTTGGTGTGGGGAGCTGGATGAGGCCTGCCCTTCCTTTCCAAGTGGCAAGGAAGCCCTGAGTTGTTTGGAGGTATTCCACTGACACAATGGGCCGGGAGACGCGGATTCAAGTTCTGGCTCTGTGGCTTAGGCTGGTCTGAGTGGATTCCTGCCAGTGCGCTTTTAACCTGGACACAGCTCCTGAGTGTCCTCAGTGTGTCAGACCCAGCTAGGTACTTTCTGGTTCCTTGTCATCCAGGAAAGGAACCGAGCTCAGAGAGGTTGAGCGACTTGCCCATGGCTGCACAGCAACTAGAGCTAGACTCCAGTCCACATCCCTGGGGCTGCCCAGCCTCCTCCTTGATCAGATGTTCAGCCTCTCAGACGCGCCCCTCCACCTCTCCTGAGAGAGCCACTGTTCCCTCCACATTCACAACCAACCCTTTTGGGGGTTTCTTTTGTTCCCTTAATCTTTAATAGGAAAAACATCAGTAGAACATCAAATTAGAGACAACTAGCACTCCCCAACTCTGCTTCAGTTGTTACATCTTCTGGATGTTTTCATCACCTGATGTCTCATGCCAGCCTCTTTCTGCGTGCATGGTGGTGTCCCACGGACAGAGTGCGCCCTGATGCTCCAAAGCAGCATGGCCTCTCACGACCGAGTCCCCTGTTCTGTTTTCAAGGGTGCAGGCTAGAGTCTTGGGCTCCCTGGCAGGGTAGCATCTCTCCTCAGGGGCCAGGACCTGGTCTTGGGGCTCAGAAATTGTCAGTTGTGACAACATGAAGACCCCTGCAGAGCTCAGCTCAGCTCGGCACAGTCTTGCTGTTAATATTGGTCTCGAAGGGAAAAGAGGAGGTGGGGGAATCTGTCTGAGAAGCCCCTTAGCAGGGCAGGAAGAAGAAAAAAGGCGACAGGTGTCGTGGGGCATTGACAGCAGGGTATCTTGTGCAACAGGACAATATAAAGAAAATGTCCATATGGTGTTTTGCCCATCTGGGCCCAGTGCTATGTGGTTTTTTGTTTTCATTTGGTTTCTTTGAGACCCTGCATGGTTCAGGCTGGGCTTGAACTCACTTTGTGGCTCAGCCTGGGATCCTCCTGCCTCAGCCTCCTGTGTGCTGGGATTACAGGTGTGCCCCACCCTGTCCAGCTTCCAGTGCTGTGTTCTGAGGTTCAGGACTTGAGAGAACTCAGCACCTGCCCTGGCTGTGGAGCTCCCTGGTCACTGGGCCTACCTCCAAGCATCCGGTCACTTCCCTGAACAAGTTCTGCTGCTGTCCACTCTGCAGAGGGCAGGGTGGAGTGCAAAGAGTGTTTGTCACTTGTCTGGGGTCCTGGCTACCCAGCCTGTCTCCCTGACAGCTCTGCTGCCACCTCAGCCAGCACTGGTCAGGGAGTCCTAGGAGGCGTGAGGCTTTGGGGAAGGACCAGCACCTCCTGTCCCAGGAAGGGGGCCAGGCCAGGCGGTGCAGACAGCATCAGGCCCCCTGAGGCTCCCAGAGTCGCCCACGTGGCTTGGGTGTCTGGGCCCCTGGGATCAAGCTCGATCGAGTAAACACCGGGCCGGGCTAATGAGGCTCCCTTCTGACTCGGAGTGCACCTCCCGCTCCTGCCTGGCCTTGGAGACAGGCCTGTCAGGTGCACGGGAGGGGACAGGCCCAGCATGCACCAAGCGGGGAGGGGACAGGCCTCGTGTGCACCAGGCCAAGTGCCTGTGCTGGGCACCGTGTACAGCCTTGTGGGTCACCCGGCCAGGCCTCTGCCCCACCTATGAAAGGGCCAGGAGGGAGGAAAACAATGCAGGGTGACGGGGAGAGAGCTGCAGGTGAGGCGACCGTTGTTCTAGTGTTGGCTGTGGTGTGCGTGCCTCAGTTTCCCTCTCTGAAAACCAGGATGGTAAGAGTAGCTTGATTATGGGGTCACTGTGGGAATCCAAGTCCCACGGGTTGTGAAGCAGGGAGAGGGGCCCCTTCCTGGCAGGAGCCAGTGCCCCTTGTCCCTCCCCGGCCTGTGGAGCACCCTGTGCCCAGCGCTTAGCGTGTTCCCGAGCCGCATAGCCGTTGTGTTTGTGGATGAGGGGCCAGCAGCTGGGGGAAGAAGGGCATTGCAGGGACAGGTCTGCAAGGTTCCACCGAGGAGCAGCCACTGTCGGGGCCCCTGCACAAGGCCGGAGCAGAGCCTTTTGGCCTGCAGGTACAGGGCCTGGCGGGCTCTGTCGTGCCAGCTCTGCCCTTTTCCTGGGCCACCTATGTGTCCCCCCGGGCAGGGGGCCTCACCAAGGACTTCTACCCACGTCCTGCCGTGGCGGCCCAGACTCCTGTCTCCCCCAGACTGCAGGCCGCACCTTTGCTTCCTCCGGCCGTCAGCACCGCGCCAGTGTGGTGGTCACAGTCACGGGACACCTTCCCCGCTGCACTTGCATCACCTCCTTGAAGCCTTGCCACACGAGGATGGGCCTGTTCTTCCTGCTGTCCCATTTTAGACTGGGAAACTGAGGCTGGGAGGCCTCGCCACTCTCCCAAGCTATTAACCGGCATAGCTGGCTTTGAGCCCCTGACCCCTGGGAGCGACAGTTCTCACCCCTCACCGGCTGCGCATGCGTGGGTGGCATGTTGGCCCTGGTCACGTAGTGCTGCACAAGCGCCTGATCCCCCCAGGTCCCGAGGACTGTGGCCGTTAACCTGACACCTGCAGGCCCCTGAGTCCCATCCTGCCTGCCCACATGGGCGGTCCCACCTGTCCCCGCTGGAGCCTGGGCCACCACTGGCATCTGTGTGGCTCTGGCTGGGCGTCCCCTGTGCCCAGGACGGTCGTTGGGGTTGAGGGAAGACGTTGCCTCTGGGCCCTGCCGGCCCCACTTTACCACCTCAGCCTCATGGCCGCCCTCACACTCACCCCCCGCCCCGCCCTCCCGTCTCCTGCTGTCCTTCCTTCTTCCTTTCCTTCCTCCCCCTTCCCCTTCCTCCCCCTTCCTTCTCTTTCCTTCTCCCGCCTCTGTGGCCCCCGGCACTGGAGATGGCAGTGGGGCCTCCCACGTCCTAGGCCAGCGCTCTGCCACCTGGCCCCCTCCCGCCTCTTCTCAGCCGTCCTGACTAACTCCGCCTGGGTCCCT